GACAGCAACGCGAATGTTAATTAGTTTATTTCATGACAGGACGGAAAATGCGTGAAGTGTAAGTACCTCCCGTTGTTCCATACAAAGCCTTAGAAAAGTTTTCTAAGGTTTTGTATGAAACAACGGGAGGTACTTACAGTGCACACATTTTCCGTCCTGTCATGTAGCAACGTTTTTGAAAAATTGAAAATAAAATGATCGTCCATTTGTGAATTTGTAGTGTGCTAATTATTACCTGATTTCTTGTGTAATTAGGAAACCGTTGTTTACGAGCGTGAAAAGAGGGCGACGCCTATGACCGATTAAAACTGGTCTAGAGTCTACTTTTCTTCCTCCAGAAAAGAAAAACCTTTAGCTTTTCTCGACAGCAACGGGGTTCAAAAACAAAACTCAGGGTTTGTAAGAATGAATGCAAGAAAGAGCATTAAGAGCATTCGGGGAATACTCTTAGTTAGCTTTGTTAAAAACGTCTTTCAGATAAAGAGTTTTTCCTTCTTGATAATGCCTATCGATCTCAAAGTCCAGATTTTAATTACCAGCAGTATGACCCCTTCAATCTCGATGAAAGCTGCAATTACCTCCCGCTTTTCACTGTCGACAAGGGAGTGTGTAGCTGGTATTGAGGCTTTTAGACGCGGAAAGTGAAAGAGATTGGGCATATCTAATACGTGAAAGAATTTTTTGTGGAAAACGCGAAATTCGCTGCTCTCACGTCCGCGCGGAGAGAGGACTGTTGCCTGCCGAAATTTACGACTTCAAACGGAAGTAAGTCTAGCCTCCGGTCGCTGTTACCGTCGCTAAAGGTCCGTTGAAGGGAAAGTACGGTCTGGAAAAAGTTTACTTACATCAAAAGTTCCTTGCTTACATTGTCCTAACTGGCTATTCATTTGAGCTTAAAGCGTTTTCGTTGCGGACAATTACGTTGCAAAAATCCGCATTTTTAAATTGAAATCCGTCATCTTTGTTATGACGAAACTGTGACGTAGAGAGGATGTAATACATCCATTTATGTTTTAAACAAAACCTGGCTCGTCTTCAGCAGAAGGATATAACTCTGTTGAGGAGAAAGGGGGAGAAAGTCAGGAAAATGAGTTTTAAGAAGGAATGTTGACCCGCTCAATCGCCTACGCCTTTGAAATCGCGAGTGGTTCTCTTGCGGCAACTGTCGAAAGAAATCTACGGAAAACGAAGATGTATGGTCCTAAGAATTCAATGTATTAGGACACCGACTCAATTTGAAAGGCAAAAGCTTTTTCCTGAAACAAATCCAAGCTGTGGAGTACTAGTTATTTTGCTAAAGAAAACCGCAGTGTCCGCGACGGATTCATTGCACACTGATACCTCAGAAGGAGACGAATTATTTTTGCAGTTACAGGAACCCAGTTTCGGTGAGTAACTGAACACAAGCCATCATGATTTGGAACTAAGAACAGCCTCAGTTGGCAAGCAACAAGTTTGAAATGATAGACTTGAAGATCATTCTTCGTATGCGTAAACACCGACAAAATTGATCAGAAGCAAGTAATTGCCAAAATTAACGCAGACAGAAGTCAGAAGTTAATTGCTACGAATTAAATTTTGTTTCTTTCAGCATTTACCTTTGATTTGCAGTGGTGTTTTTATCTTTATTGCTTAGAATTACTTTCAACGCAGTTATTTTTCTTTCTAAAGTGTTTGAAATGTCGTGACTTGTGAGAAGTGGAGCTTTGTTATTTTCAACGCGCGCCAGAAAGTCGCCTCTGCCATACAGTGTTTACATTAGAAATTACCTCAATATAACTGAAGCTAAAATGAAACTTTCCACGTCTTTTAGAATCATAAGCACTGCATAATTACGTCAAGTAGTTGGTTGGAAGACTTGAAATATTTTCATATTATTTTTATCGTGTCGGCCAGTCGATAGATATGGTGAAATATGGGGGCCTGCCTAACGAAGGATAAGTTGTATTTGTCGCAAACGTGTCTGTCTTGATCACTCGCCGGCAATGTATTAAGAGATGGAGTACTTTTCCGTGTCAGTATAGCCTCATCTAAACACCGAGGGGGCTGACAGATTTCAAGAAAGTTTTGTAAACCCACGAAACGGTCAGGAGGTTTACATAATTCTTGGGACTTAGGTAATATTGCTAATTTCTACCACAAACATCATTCATACATATACAGAAGGCATTTATGATTTCATTTATTTACTGCACATATATATGTCAACTTTTTCGGATAAAGTTTACAATAGACCTTCAAATCAATCTATTCAGTATGAAGTCGACTTAACCTAATTATAATCAATGCCTCTAGGAATTTACTTTTGCATTTACCTGACTGACGGCAAGGTCAGGCGTAGTTTACCGCTACAAACTTTCTACAAAAACAAATTTTGGGTTTTGTTTCCATCAAAATACTTCTCGAATTAAGCACGTTCCTTGGTAAATCCTAGATAACTATGCCAAATTTTAAGCTTGACTCTCCCTTCACTACACTATTCAATTAGAGTTCACGTTAAGGTGGCTGAACATAGTTTTCGCGGGCGCTTTTGCTGATGTAATTCAGCGCGCGCACAAGGATTGCAAAAAACAAACATGCCATCAATAGACCGGTCATTTTATTTACTCAACTCAACACGAATCCGCACTATTTTTGGTATTTTTCTCTGTGTATTGAGGGCTTTAATATTTTATTGCAAAGATATGTTAGAAAAGTTAACGGTGCAAAGAACCCTACAATTCTCAGCTTTTTCGTCGTTACCAAGAGAGCCCAGTTAAATGCAGCGCATGCGTAGTAAGTAAAAAAATTGCGATTGAATGGAAAATTGCTTTCTCGGAGATATGCCTATCTCTTGAGAACGACTCATTAGAATTGCACGAAATTTGGCACGAAAATACCTTAGGAAATAAGTAACTGCACCATGGGAAAAAATGATCTTTGATAAAGGAAATTCTAGATAATCGAGGGAACCTTTAACAAGGGATTATTTTAGATCTCTCTGTTAGATTGTTAGCAAAATGGTGTTAAGTTGCGAGTATTGTTACAAGCTCGTTGCTTGCAAATTGTAAAGAAAAACTAATGACTAGATTTTCTACAAATGAACAAAACCGATTTAAAAGGCCTGTTTATATTTATTCATGTCGCCATGGCAACGGCACATACGTCAGCTTGACTATTGACAAAACAAAGTTTGTGTTGTTAACTTGCTTGCTGCCAGTTTTGGCGACCGAGAGATTAAGGGTTTTAGAGAAAATGGCGAAAGAAACACAGGTATCAAAAACTGTGTTCAGCCAACTTAAGGAGAATATATCAGCACAAATGATTAAGGGCCGTACGTCGTTATAGCCTGGGTGGTCGGAGAAAGTTCGTTTTTGACTGCCATAAGGGAAAAACTTAAGAATATTACAGAGCCTTAGAAGGGCATCTGCAAAATTTGATCCTAACACGAACAAAATCCTTCCCCTCCACTCACCCAAGATAAAAAGTCCTTTCGTCTGATTTTCATTTCAGTTCTTTTGGGAGCTGTGTTTTTAGGTTTTCCAAAGTTTAGTTGTCCCCAGCGCTGCCTTTAACTAGGTTCTTTCGGTAACAACAAAAAAGCTGAGAATTGTTGGGTTCTTTGCACCGTTACCTTTTCTTATATATCTTTCTAACAAAAGATTAAAGCCATAAATAAACTGCGCCAACTATAGAGAAAAGTAGCACAGATAGTGCGGGTAAGTGTTGAGTTAATAAAGTAACCGTTCTCTTGACGGCATGTCTGTTTAATTTGTTGCAATTATATGAATGAATGAATGAATTGAATGAACTGCTTATTTATATCGCGCTCTTTCCATACAATATTCAAAGGCGCA